AATTTTTTTGATTATATTTTATTACATTACATGTAATTAATTACAATTAATATTTATAATATAAATATTAATAAATTAAATATGCTATGGCTACTCTCCAATTTATTAAAATTATATCTACCACTCAATATTAAGAGAATCAAATACTTGCGTTTAATAATCTCTATGATGCAAATAAGTAAATGATAATAATAATAATATATAAATATATTTTAAAACATATATTAAAGCATATAAATAGTTAATTTATAACACAGAAAAATATTTGTAATTTTTCTAATGATAGAGCATGGATAACATCCAGCATTGGATTCTATTTTTCTCAAATATATTTATTAATTTTAACTTAATATATTAAGGGAAAATGTTCTTTCAACAACATTTTTTTTAAAGCTTAAATCATGACATTTTTACAAATTCAGTTTTACTAATACCAACTACTATGAAATTTTATACAACATAAACCTGATTGCCAAAAATAATTCAAAAGTAAAACAGTTTAATTTTTATTTATTAGAATAAACCGTGTGTTTTTGTGAAGAACAAGAATTTGGTTTTCCACAGCCCAATTCTAGATTGTATTTTTTTTTCATTTGTCTTTATTTTTCTATTTTAGAAAAAATATTTAAATAAACAAATTATTATTATATTTATGTAATAAATTAAAAATTTAATACATTAATAAAAATATATATGTAAAGATTATTATTAATAAAAATTATGAGTAATAATATTGTTAATTATTTTATATTTATGTTAATAAGCATACTGATATTAAAAATAATATAGTTAATTTCAAAATATTAAATTAAAATTGTATATAAAACATTAAATTAAATTATTAGTTATAGAATATTTGTAAAGATATTTTTATTTAAGTTTATTATTAATAATAAATATCCTAATTTATTACATATTAATTTATCATCAAAATTAACTATACGATTCTTAATTTGTACTTTTATTAATCTTAATTCATTGTAATTTTAATAGAACCTTATGAAAAAAACCCTTTTATATTGAGTTTGAACTCTATTTTTGATAGGTTGAGTTAATTTTTGTTCTTATACATTATTGTAATATTATACTATTTATGTTATTAAATCCAACTTATAATTTATGACTCTATGATTTCTGTTGAAAAAAATTTTAAATAATGTACAAAAAAAAAATGTATAGCTGATAAATAGACCACAAATTGTTTTTTTTTTTTTGTCAAGTTTACTTTGGTAATTTTGTTTACCTTAATGGTTTTGTGTAATATATATGTTAACAAATGATACCGTATATAAGAATATTATTTATGTATATATAAATTTGAAAAAGTTAAAAAAAATGCAGAATTAAAAAAAAATTAAGTTATTTTTTTAATTATATTTTCTAAACTTTATTATTTTGTATAACATGTATGGCAATTAAGGTTTAATAGTTCTATACAAAATATTGAAACATTATATAAAAATAAAAAAATGTTTTTATTGATAAATAATTAACATGTGGTATAAGGAAGAAAATGAATTTAGTTAAACATTGTTTTATCTATTTGAAGTTGATGTATAAATATTGTCGGGATTTTTTGTTTTGCTTTAAATATGTGTACAATGAAATAACTTTTTTTTTTTTTACAATTTTATTTTTTAATGTCCATCTTTATTTTTGCTTGACTCAATTTTAAGTCATTTTTCTTTAACTCAATTTTAAGTAATTTTTCAATATTATTTAAAGATTGAGACCCAAATGTGTATCAATATGATGGTTAATAGTTTTTTATGATTAAATATAAAATGGACTTATTCATCCTGTTTTGACCTACTAAATAGATGGATTAATATGTCATAATATAGACTTCAGCTTGATCTGTCAAAGAATGGACTGATGAGCTAGTCTACCAATAATTATTTTTTTATATATATTTTTTTATATATATTTTTGTTTAAAATATACCTTTAAATATATGTATATTTTTTAAGTTTTTATTTATTAATTAATTTTTTTATTAAATAAATTAAAAATATATTATATTTATTCGTTAGAATAACTAATTATAATTAATAATTTAAATTTAATTCATTAATTTTTATAATTTAAATTATAATATTATAATATATTTATATATTTATATATTTCAATAATATAACAAAAAATATAATATTTTAATTATAATTATTTTTATTTTAATATATAAATATTTTCTAAAACAATTAAATCTTTCCCATTTTGTCTTAACCTGCAAAATTGATGAACTAGACCGAAAAGACAGATTCACGACTAAGACTATCAATCGCTCCATTAAATCTAACTCATATTTTATTCTAATTATGATTAAATTTTTCCAACAACTTATTATAAATCTTGAATACTTCCTATCATTCGTAGATTAGATTTATATAAACATTCATGTCAATGTAAATGAAGTTTCCAGAACATTTCACCTGGCTACAAATCTTTCAACTATTCAAATATTTCTCAAATTCGTGTCTCTTCCCCCATAAATCATATATTGATCTATCAACATTCTATGATTATAGATTTTCTAACGCTTTGGTTGCTACTTCATAGTGCATATGGTTAGTTGTAGTAATCGTGACCATCTCTCTCCCTCTTCTTATAAAAAACGTTACACCTATGTATATAGTCATTACCAAGGAAAAATATTAAGGTTCTAGGTGGTTTTCAATTTTAAATTTATAAACTTTATCGGGTTGATTGCCATTTTTTAGAATTGTAGTAATTACGGTATCACTCACACTTGTTTTAAGCATAGGAAACTCCAACAAACATGCACCTTGACTAAGCTATTCCAAAAGGTCACACAGGCACTAAAAATCAAAGACTAAAAAAAAGTCATGAAAATAAAATCCTGGATGTCCCCTTCAACATACTTTATAATTGATGATGAAGTAGCTCATACGTCCCACTCTTGGGACATAGCTAACAAATTTTCAAGAAGTCTTATTCCATGTTTTTAATCATATTAAGGATTTTGCACAACATGTCAACAAGGAGTTTTTCTTTCTCTTTTTTTTTTCACTTAAGTACTAGCAATTCTTTGGGTATACAAAGTTTCTCCTCTTGTTTCAAGTCAAAGTTTGAAAGAACTTATAAAAGTGATATATTATTAGAAAGAGGATATAAACAATTCCCAGTATACAAGAGAATAAGCTATACAAAATAAAAGATTTACCCATAAAAGTTTTTTTTTTAAGTCTAATAAGTAATAAAAGACTATATTTTTAGAAGAGATTTTGGTAGCATTTTTGTTCTTGATAGTTTCTTTCTCCTCTTATATGGTTGCGTATCTTTTTATAACTTTCAAAGTTAACCATTCGGAGCCATGAGATTAGAGCTTATTCTAGCTAGTGTAATGTCTCACATGTTTTAGGTTTTTCAAATATGTGACAATTTTTATAAATAAGATAACAAATATAGTCTCATTTCACGAAGAATATCTTTGAGTAATTTTACTTTAATATAATATATCATTAGAATATTTCAATAAAAAAAAATTGAATGGTGAATGAATAACACATTGACAGAAGGAAGAGAGGGTCTTTAAAGGCTATGGTTCCTTGGAAATTTTAATATTATTCATATAATTAAAAAGATAAATATATAATGGAAAAATGAATACATGATCCTTGAAATTGAATCTTCGTTTAGCCTTTGATATGTGATGTAATTGTTGAATTCAAAAGGTGAGCACATCTGTAAGTTTTGTTAAAAAAAATTATAAAAAGGACACAGTTTTTTTAGAATTAACTAGTTGACCCTTTATATCACCGACTTTCGTAATTCTTATTTTTTTCATGACTGGTTAAACTGATTTTATTAATTGTTAATTAAAACCTGTATTTTCCAAACATATTGAGCCAAACAAAATATATATTCTGGTTTCACTGGTTAAGCCAGCCTCTGTATTTGGGTTTCAAAACTAATAGACACTAAGCTTCTGTTTGTTTAAGAGGCAGTAAAGCATATTTAAAATTTTATAAAGAAGCGAGAAAGTGAAATGATGAATCCTTTATTTTAAAAATAATATTTTTAATAAAATATTAAATAATATATATATATATATATATATATATAATTAACATAATATAACTTTATTTATTATAATAATAGTTATATTAATAAAAATGTTATTATAATAAATAGTTTCAGTAAATTATTTACACTTGTTATATAAAATCTCGAGAAACATCCATAAAACGTTAGATTTTACTAAATTTGATAAAAGTAGATACAATTTTAAAAATTTTATTTAAGATCTTTCACAAAATTGATTTTTAAAATAAAAAAATTAAATAGAAACTTAAAAGATTGATTATACTTTTAAACATTTATATTAAATAATTTTCAAATAAATATAATAAAAGATTGATTATATTTTTAATTAATATAACACTGCTTAAGCATAATATCCAATAGTATATAATTTTTTAGTTTCTTATATAATTTATATCTAATATATTCATGATATAAGAAAATATCTGCTATATTTTAAAATTGTCTTAAAATCTAAAAAAATAATATCATATGAAACTTTAAATTTAATTAGAAAACAATACTTATTATACTGATAATAACAATATGTTAGTTTTGTCCAATAAGAACAAAACTTATATGGATTATTAGAAAAACAACTATAGCACAATTCTCTGAGAAAAACTGGAGTTTCAATTTGAAAACTTATATTTTATTAAATATTTTATCTATTGTTAAAGTAAAACTCTAAATTTAATTGAAAAGTAATGTTTACTGTATTTATTATAAATTATATAAGTTTTCTTTATTTAGTAAATGTTGGTAGTGGTTCTAAAGTTTCTTAACACAATTTTTAATTTGTATTAGAGAGTTAATAAAGGTTTAATGATGAAATTTAGAGTAAACTTTGAAATAGTTGTCCTTCAAATTCATATTAAGATGTGATTTTACAACCAGTAAATGCAGGATTTTTATTATAAACTATAAATAGCATAACAATTAAGCATCTCCTAATATCATAACAATTCATCACAAATGATCCCATCAAGTGCAGCAACACCACCTCCAACTTGGTCTCTCATGGCAAAGATTTCAGCACCATTTTCCAAATTCAGCTGAAATCAAGTATATAAATAAAACTATTAAACTATAAATTTTCTATGAAAAAAAAATATAAGATGAAAAAATTATATATTAACATATAGTAAATAGATAAAAATGATCAATTTAATTTAAAAGAAAATATTATTTAATCCTTAAATATATAAAATGTCATATAATTATATATTATTATTTAGTTTTGTAAGTAAAATCATAAATGATTTCATCATTAAACTAAAATTAAACATCAATTTAATTTTTTTATCTAATAAAATACTAACTCAAAGTTCTCATTCTTCCACAGATTTAAGGACTAAATGGGTCATTTATTTAATAGTAAATATTACTTCTACACAAACAGTAGATGCAGAGTAACAAAAGGAGTTGAAATAACATTCAAACATTCTACACCTTAAGAGCTTACAATGTGATAATATTATATATTAAAAACTGAAGCACCATGTCTTATTTTATGTTAATCATGGATAGTCTTAAACAATCATGAGATATTTGAAAACATGAACACTGAGAAAACAAAAACCAATCTTAAAAATAACTTCTAAGATATGTTATAAGTAATCAGAGTCCAAACAGGCACCAAAATACACATTGAAAATAAAGACTTGAAATAAAAGTAGATTAGGTGTGAAATTTGTAAGACTAAACAAGTGAGAGTCTAATTTGAGTTCAAATTAATGTTATAAAATTGATTTTATAATTGTTAAAGAAACTAACCATTTTGGGTGTTTGACGACCCTTAATTCTAGTACCATCATGTATGAACTTCAAGGTATCGTATTCCAATTTCTTTCTATCACAGAAATCTCTGAATACTTTCACAAATTCCAAATCCTGCTTCACCTTGAAGAACAGCTTGTTCCCATCCTAAGTTTCAAACAACAAAAAAGATGGTAACTCAAATGTTGTATTCAATTGTTTACATCAAAATTTTAGATAGAAAGGTTTATGCAGTCTTGTCTAACATTTATTTGAAAATTTGAGTATTTATTTTTTCAAATTTGGAATAGATTTTTTTATTTCATTCTTATAATTAGAAGATAGTCTGTTTTAGTTTATTAACCGAAACAATGTCAGAAATTTAGTTTATCTGCAGTTTTTTTCATTATTATTCTTACTCAACAAAAAATTGAGAGAGAAAAATCAATATGAAAACAAATTTGAAGAATTAAAATAGTTTAGTTGGATGAAAATGGAGAATAGGTCTATGGCCCTTAAATATATATAAAGTGGTGACAAATTAGGCATGCATGAATGGACATTCCAATTTAGGATATGAATAATTGATACTGAATTAAATTTTATATTTTTTTGAAAACCAAATTTTCACCTATTTATACTTTTAGAGACCAAAATAATAATCTCCCAAATATCAATAGCTGTGTAATACATTGCTACAAAAGTTTAGTATTATTTTTAGATATCTGTGATGATATTTTCTAATTGGTGATTAAGGAAAAAAGAAAAGCATATAAAAGAAGATTATATTGAGAAAGTTAAAGAATCATGCATACACCTGAAAACTGATTGATAAGTCCACATCAGTGCAAGCGTCATCTGATGGAGATTTTCTCTTGAGTCCACCAATGGAGGTGGTAGCCATATTCGTCTTCTGCACACACAAATGGAAGAGACATGTAAGATTTCAAAAACCTCAATATCAAAGAAGAAAATAAAAGAACCCTAATTATCTATATTAGAATTATGCAGACCAAAAATCAAGGTGTTACTCCCAGATAGTATCTGGAAAATCACACAAAAATCTGAGAAATGGTACAAAGTTAAACCATGTTTTTATGTGAGAACGTGAAAAACAAATTTGAAGAAAGAAAGAAAAAAGACGTTGGAAAAGTAGGGCACCGAAGGAAAAGGACAGAGAGAGAGAGAGGAGCATGAACTCTGCGGCCTCACATGGACACGGTTTTATCGTTGTGACTGTACCTTGCAGTGTAGTCGTTTCAGTTTACTACAAGTGTTAATAGTAAAAAAATTAATTAATTTAGCATGTATGAATTTAATTAAAAATTTATTTTCTTGAAATTTTAGAAGAAAATTATTTTAAAAATAAAATAAAAATAGTTTATAGTTAAAAGAAAAAAATTGTTTTTTTTTTAACTTATCTTTATATTTGACCTATCAAATTAATAAATTCAACACAAGCAAACATAAATGTGATTTTATTTTTAGTATATCTAAATTTAATATTTAATGTTAATTGTAATACTTTCTTTATATTTTTTTTCGTACAAAATGATTAAATTTTATTTTTAAAATACTAAAACTAAAAATTAAGTTTAAAAAAAAAATATAAACTAAAAGATATATTTAGTTTTATTTAAAATTACCGTCATGCACAAGATATTTTTTTTATATGGAATGAAAAATATTAATTATTTCTTATAAATAAAACATAAATCACGCATATAATGCATGTTGTGCAATACTAAAAAAAACATTTACTTTTTTATTTATGTATAAAACTCAAACTTAATCTTATATTAAAAAAAAAAAAGTTACATCCAAAATATCACTCTTGTTTATAAAACTTGAAACTTGTATTATGGGTATAAAATTCAACCAATAAAATAACTCACTATATATATATATATATATATATATATATATATATTTTAATGAAATAAATATTCTTAATACAAACTTACAATGACTATATTGATAAAATAAAAAATGGTATAAAAGGAAAAGGGAAAATAAGCAGTGCTTACTGTAAAAAGAAACTCTCAATACATGATTACTAATACTTTATTATTTAATATAATTATTGAGAAAATATTTTATTATTATTGTAAAAATAAAATATATTAAATTTGATTTGAATTAAATATTGGTCAATGTGACAACAAGTTAAGATAAGTGTATTAAATTATCCATTAATTCAGTAGTTTATGACATCTATTAGTTAATAAAATGCTTAGATATATAATGTTTCTTTTAACATTTTGTTATAAATATGACTGAGCAAGAATCTCAAATTTTATTGTATTGTGGAGGGTGTGCACTATTGATTGAAAAAGTAGTTTAGCAGAGAGATAGCCCACAACTGCTTGACCTTAGAACTATAAGAAACTTATTTCTTCATAATAATAATAATAATAAAAAAATAAAATAAACTTTTTTCATCTTCAACTGTAATAAGTATTTTTTACCCATTTACAAATATATTAGACTTTTTTTATTTTTCTTAGGAAGAAAAAGTCATTTTATTTTTAATATATAATAAATAATTTAAATTTAGCATTCAGAATTGATTTCAATCTATATGAAAACTATTCCTATGTGCTTCAGCTTTAAGTTGATTTTAGGATGAAACCTTATTGATGAAATCTGATGGTCCAAAACGCACCTCTGGGTAAAGGGGATGTGCATGTAAATGAATAATAATATTTGATAACTAATGAATATTGACAATTTTCATGAAAAAATAATAATTTTTTGTTATATTCAAGGTTGGGGAAGAGGAAAGTACATAGGAGTGATGTTTATCATTGACTATTTTATCAACTTCTTAAAGGTGGGTTTTGGGAGGAATATATAACATTTAATGGTTCAAAATTCAAAAAGGAATTGAGAGAAAAACACTGTAACTTTTCAAAGCTGCATTCAACCAATTTACAGAGAGAAACGGTTGGTTCAGATTCCGTTGATGCACAGAATCTCTGCTATTTTCAGATTGATGTTTAAAATCAAACCCCACTTCCCTAGTGTGATGATGACCATATATTGCTGCAGAAGGAATTGATTATCTTTGCGACTGGTCATAGCTTTGAATGTAATTGTTGTCTTCTTTCCAATGCAACAACCAACCACCCAACCTCCCCTCATTTATAAGTTCTGTCTACTTCTTTTTACACTTTGTTTTTTTACTTTTTTTTATGCAAAAGAAGAACATGGTAAAACAAATATGTCAATAAAAATAGTGCAGTGTAAATTTAATTAGATTTTTTCTTTAGATTTTATATTCTTATTCAATATAAACATTTTGCCCTTACATAACATTAAATTATAAGATGAAAGAAATAAGAGAAAAGTCAACGTAAAATATGTAAGGACAAAATAGACTACAATGCGGAGAAATTTAATTTTTGGTAAAAAAGTGGGTAAAAAAAATTATACTAATTAAAAAATTAATTTGACTTAAAAAAATTAAACTCATTGGCTTATATTACAATAATTTTTTGTTTCAATTTTAAGTAAACTAAGATTTGAGGTCTTTCAGTTTTTCCTTCCACCCCATTTCGAGGGGAGAAACTATATGCTTGAAATATTCTGGTTTTTGCTTGAATAGCAGTCAAAGGGGATGAAAGACATTTGTTGGTAAGTTATTTTTTAGAAAAGCTGTAAAAATAAAAGCTCTCCCGCAGTAAAAGAGAATTAGTAATTGTCGATCTCATTTTGTCTCGACCCCTTGTGAAACTCTACCGGAAATTACAAAAAAGGCTTCTTTCTTTGAAATATTTACGTTCAGAAGGTGCGATCGGAATCCAATTACTGGACACATACATTTTTCGATCGTTTAAGATAGCGATCCTGAGATGTGCACATGCACGACAATGGGCAGATTCGTGAAAGTATTAAAAAAAAATAAAAAAATAACAACTTGATCAAGAACTGTAAAAATGAATGAATCAAATAAACTAAATATGACGGACTAAAATCATTAAAATTTGAAAAATCATTGCATCTACTTTTGCCATCCAAAGAGGGATTTCATCGTTGAGTTCTACCCACTCCCTGTTTCATCTTTTAAACAAAAGAATTAAAATATATATGGCAAAATGTATGCACTTCGCCACAAGTTGTCTTACTTATTCAAGATATCCCTGCATGAATGTGTTTGACATTTATAATTTACTCAAATAACAGTATTTTCGGGTTTCGGCAGTACTGTGTACTATTTTCTAAAGAATATCAAATCCATTATGGAAAGTTAGGCTCCATTTTGATAACGATACTACATTTTATGGTGCACCAAAAAAATTGCACCCTGGCATGAATAAAAGAAAAATAATTGATTTACAAGGAAATTACAGTAGAGACAAAAATACTAGGTCAAGTTGTCTATAAAAGCTGGAGACTGGATAATCTTCAAAAGCTCCCTTAAATTAGCAAGTACATGGCGTGGTCCCAAACTCTTGGCATCGATGAAATTCAAAAGCTGTTCTAAATCCTACAATCAGAAAAGCTCGAGGGCAAAGAGCTGTAAGTGAAGGTTAATTATGTAGTATATGTGTATACAGTACTATAAATACCGAATCTCATTCAGACAACACTTAAAGAAAAAAATAATACGAGAAAAAAAAAATAGGAACTAACGAAGTATGGGAGACTTTTAATACAATCAGCATTTTTAAGATATAATACAGATGTAAAGGTATCCAACCTACCTGCCAACACCTGTCAATATAAAACGTCAACCTTACTACTTAATTTTGGGAATAGGATCACCTGCAGTTTTTTGTAAACTGCAGGGTTCTGCAGTTAAAATCAAATGGTGTAGAATGTCGTAAGGTACATTTTATGTTATTTTTCACTGCATGTAAAGTATTTTTTATAGCGATGATGTCTTGATATTGAAAATTCAACTACAGACAATCATAATTTTGTGTTTTGGTCGGAGGAAGTCCTCTGACAAACTTGAGTTTGGGAAAAAAAAAAAGAAGAAGAATTAAAGCATCTTGAGTAAGCATAACTCCTAAACACTTTAAATCGTTCATGCATGAAATGAACACAGGCCTTTTGACCCTTCTAAAATAAATATTGTTAAAGATTTCACATCGACCAAAAAAATGACCACTTTAATAAATAATTGAGGTGCAAATCTCTTTTTCTAATAGGACATTATAGTTGATCATTCAATAATTGGCTTAGTCGAAGTCCGATTAAAATAGATAATAAATCCTAAATTATGGATTCTTGTATCGAAGCACATAAAGATAAATAAAATAGAAAAAAAAAAAAAACTTGAGAGGCTTGATTTCCCTTTCTCAGGTTCTCATATGTATAATAAGAAGGGTAGTTTAGATACAATAAATGAAAGAGAGAATAAGGGAATAAGAAAAGACATTAGTTCCTAAGTACAGCACTAAACCTTTGGTGCAGCACTAAACAGCTTTTTATTAAAGCTTATTTAAGACTTATTCTAATACTCTCACTCAAGCTAGAACATACAAATTGTATGTACCAATCTTAGAACAAGTAAACTTAATTTGAGGTCTTCTCAAGAATTTTGTTAATAGATTTACAAGTTGATTATTGGATCCAACAAACACAAGACAAATTCCTTTGGACAATAACTTTTTCCGAATATAATGACAATCAATTCTATGTGTTTAGCCCGCTTATGAAACAGGATTTGAAAAAATGTAAAGAGCAACTTGGTTATCACAATAGATCTTCATTTGCTTAATCTCACAAAAATCTTATTCTTGGAAGATTTGTTTTACCCATACAAGCTCACAAGTGAGAGATGTCATTATACTATACTCAACTTCAGTCATTGATCAGTTTTGTTTATTAGTTTTCCACAAGATAATATTTCCTCCAATAAAAAGCATTTGTTCGTAGAAGAACCTATCCAATTAGTATCACAATACATAGAAATTTGGGTATTTCTTTTATCTTCATAAAATAGACCTTGTCCTACAGCCTTTTTGTGATATCTTAGAATATGAATAATATTCGAATGATAAATATAAGGAGTCTGAATGAACGAACTCACAACACTAATTGCAAAAAACAAACTTAATCTAGTAATGGTAAGATAAATAAGTTTTCTAACCAATCTTCTATGCCTTTCTAGATCAGAGAAAGTTTCACCTGCCATTAATTTATGATTTGGATCCATAATTTATGATTTGGATCCATAGAGCTATCCACTAGTTTACAATCAATCATACGTCTCTTTCTTTTAGGATATCTAGAGTATATTTTCTTTGACAAATTAAAACACCTTTTGATTGGCTACTTCAATGTCAAAAAATATTTAAGGCTCCTAATATCCTTGGTCTAAAAATGATTGCATAGGTGTTCCTTTAAATGATAGATTTTCAGATCATTCCCTGTAATAACTATATCATCAACATATATTATTAAATACACACATTTTCAAGGAGAGGTATGACAATAGAAAAACAAAATAATCTATCTCACTACATATTAGGCCAAATGGTTGAACGATATTGCTGAAATTTCCAAACCGAGTATGTGGTAATTGCTTGATACCATTTAATTCCATGCTCTTGAAATGTTCATTCCTCGACTCGACTTAAGGAGGTGTGATGAGATCTCACATTTACTAGAGACATGATCAACTTATGATATATAATTGAAGTGCAAATTTCACCTTCCACTCCAGTTTTGTAAGGTTAAATCAAACACATTTCCATTTCTAATAAATATACATAAAGTAATTAATTTCAAGTCATTAGAGAAAAAAACGGGTTTATATTCCAATTCATTCATGATTGGTTACGAAGTGCCCGTGATATTGACGGTTAATATTCTTATCAATAACTGAGATTTGCAACTTTTCCCTCTAAATCAAGTTGCTCACTTTAAAGAAAGTCAAATTCTAAAAGCGGTGTTGCGAAAATAAAACACTGAAGAACAGCCAATTCTGGTGGAGGAACCCTCCACACTTCCATTTAGCTAACATACAGTAGGCTTTATTCTCATGGTCAAAATAATTTCTGAATCAACCAGCATGTACAAGTTGGAGCAAAGTCCCAAAAAAGCAATTGAATACTGGCCAGAAAGCAATTTCAGTGAAACAGATAAGAACTTAACACTGCAAAACACACAGATACTACTGACTAGCAATAAAGACATCAACAAATATGAAGAGTCCAAGACCCAAACAAATAAATCAGACAAATGATAAAGGGGCAGAAAGTGTCAGTGAAAAGATACACTTAACTGCACTCAGACTGAGAGTTACTACAAGCAAATAGAAATATATACCTTGTTTAGTAAGAATACAGCATAAGCTGATCTTGTTGTGTCTTGACCTTCTAAAAAAAGGGGGAATTCCACATGTTTGGCATTTATGTTTTTATTTGATGAAGCTTCAGATGTTAGCTCTGTTGAAGGTGCATTGTCAACAATATATGAATGAGAACCACACAACCGTAAAGGATATCGCAAAGGAACTTGCAAGTAAGAAGCTATAAGTGAAACAGCCTGCGAGAAGATCAGTCTAGTAAAGCACATTTCAATAACAAAAATTATTCAAAGAGAGACATTTCAATAACAAAAATTATTCAAAGAGTGAGACATTTCAATAATTATTAGGTCAACAATCCTCGAATGAGCTAGCATAAGAAATGCTGCAGCTGGAAACATAAGTTTTCCATTTGACAAAGAAAAATCTTCAACAATTTAGTTTTGCACATACAAGACATGTCAAATACGTAGGTTTAAATACATCCTTTATCCCTGCAAATAATTTTACACTTTTAGTCCCAGTAATTTCACTTGTTTCTTATATTTCAACGTTCAAAACTTAAAATTGTTTATTTTTAGTTCTTCCCATTAGTCACACTTAAAGATCGTTCATACACACCAGGGAATTGCTAAGCAATCATTTTTGTAATGTGGCATAGACACACTGAAAACCTCAGAGAGTTACACAATCGTTTTTGTAGTGGAAAAACAATATATGTATATGACAATTTAGAAACTGTACACCACATTTTGGAAATGGATCACAAAATACATAACTTAGAAGCACAATCAGTTCTGAGACAAAAATGGGCCCAGTAGGTTCTAATACTTACATGTGCAACATATCCTAGGGCAGTAGAAGACCCCTGGATTTCTTTTTTATCAGGGAAAAAGCTCATCTTCCTAAAAGATAACACATCCAAATGCAGACCATGAATTGTTAAGGATCCTTGATTAACAGGTCTAAGTCCAGCAGCAGTCCCTGAGTAATGGAAAAAAAAAAAAAAAACTTTTAACAATAAAATCAGAGAAGTTATCACTTACAATTGCAGTGAATATTAGCAAAACAATTGTCATAATTTAACTTTAACGTTACATAAGATAGACTAGAGTTAATATCCAATGAATAGCTATGGTTCTCTAGTGCATCGATGTCACAGTGTATAACATGCCGTGAAAGTACCTTAAAGTATGAAGAAATGTGATATAAAAAATAAATAAATTAATTATTAACTGGACGGATGCTCAAAAGGTTTGTAATTTGGTCAGTGATCTTTCAATTTAATGGTTACAAATTGAATATGAAATTTTCAAGAACAATGATAATAATGATTCAACATTGCACATAAGACCTCCATGTAGAGCAACAATGGAGTGGTTCACAAGTTATATCATATATTATGATAAAAGAATAAAGACTTTGGCTCAATGAAAACAGGATGAAGACAGAGTCAGATAAACATCTATAACTAGGCTGATGGCAAAACTGTTGGATCTTTCGAGGGAAATTCACTAGGTAGAAACACCAATGAGACATGAGTCCAACCCACATAAGGATTAGCACCACTCTCAACCCAAAACCTTAAGGCACTAGGTTATGGGTCAAACTTCCTTATATGTTGCTCAACTTTCTCATTCTTACTCAATGTGAGACTTAACTCACACTTGGATTACCCAACAATTTCCCACTCAAGTGTGAGTCTCTTCACATTGGTACATCTCTCTCAAGCATATTAGTATCCTTTCCATGTACTGTCGTTGTCGTTCATCATAACAGGAAACACTTACCTGACCCGCTGTCAGAAAGACTTTCGGTACAAAAACCACTTTTAACCTGCCGATTCGACTCTGATACTACTTGTTGGGTCTTTCAAGGGGAATTCACTGGGGAGAACAATACCAATGAGACAAGAGCTTAACCCACATAAGATATTGACACCACTCTTAACCAAAAAACCTTAAGACATTAAGTTATAGGTCTTTCTTCCTTATATGTTGCTCAACTTACTCATTCTTATTTAATGTGGGACTTAGAATCACACTTGAATTCCCAACAATCTCCCCCTCAAGTGTGAATTCTTCCCAATGATGAGACTGATGTTGGCCCATACACATCTGCATGAACAAGTTCCAAAGTCTTTACCTTGGGCATCCTCCCTAACTACGCAATAGTAACTTTTTTCTCCTTCCCAAACACATGGTTCACAAAAACCAACTTCTACCTTTTCTAGTTCTGGAATCTTTCCCTCTGAGACTAGTATCTTCATACCCTTCTCACTCATAAGACCAAGTCTTTAGTGCCACAAAGTCGAAGAATGACCAACATCATCACTAATTGAATTTATTTCTTGTGTAGGTAATCCTACCATGTATAGGGTTCCTTTCTTCCAACCACGAACAACAATTAGATTATCATTCACTACCTTCTATTGGCCTTCTCCGAATATGACTCAATATCCTTGAACATCCAACATACCCAAAGAGATTAACATTCTCTTGAGTCCTAGAATATATCTGACATCCTTCAAAGTCCACATTATACTCGTAGCTGTTTTAAGATTTATATCTCCCATGCCTGCGATGTCTAGAGCTTCATCATCTGCTAGACATATTTTGCCAAAATTTCGACTTCTGAAATTTTTCATCAAGTCCTTATAAGGGGAAGCATGGAAAGATGCACCAGAATCCATGATGTATTCAAACTTGCTCTCAACACAATATATCAATGCATCATCATATCTTCTTCTGCTGCATTCATTGTATTGTCATGTTTCTTTTAGGAGCAGTACACTGGTTCCTAAAGTGTCCGTTCTGTTGACATTTCCAACAAGTAATATCCTTGCGAAATTTGGACTGTTTTTGCTCCTTGGACTTTGATCTACCACGTCCAGAACCTTGCCCTCTTTCAGGCTTTCTACCTCTACCTGTGGTGCTTAATAAGGAATTTGTTGATTCTTCAGCGTTCCTTATACGAACATCCTCATTAAGGATTAACTCTCTAATTCCTTCAAAGGTTAATTTTATAGTCTCAGATGTACTGGCTACTGGTTCCTGACCAACTATCAAGCAACGAAGATAATACTAAGAGGGCTTGTACTTCATCATCGAATTTAATATCTACTGACATTAATCTTGATAATAAGGAATTAAATTTATTCACATAATTTGAACACTTGCACCTTCTCGCATCTTCGTATTAACTAATTGACGAATAAAAAATACATTGTTTGATGTTGATGGCTTCTCGTACATGCTTGATAATGCCTTTATCAAATCATATGTCGTCTTCTCGTTGATGATGTTGTAGGCAACATTCTTCGCCAATGTTAATCTGATAACGCCCAAAGCCTATTGATTTAGCAACTCCTAATCTGTCTGAGACATCGTTTCTGGTTTATTCTCAGACAAAGGTTAGTACAACTTTTTCTGATAAAGATAATCTTCAATCTGCATCTTCCAAAATCCAAAATCGCTTCCATCGAACTTGTCAATCTTCATTTTCCCGTCTCCTACCATTGTTCCCACTCGCATGAAAAAAAAAAAAAAAACTAAGCTCTTAATACCAGTTGTTGGGTCTTTCGAGGGGAATTCACTGGAGAGAAAAATATTTCAACCAAAAACCTTAAGACATTAGATTATGGGTCATACTTCCTTATATATTGCTCAACTTTCTCATTCCTACTCAATGTTGGACTTAACTCACACTTGGATTACCCAACAAAAACACTTTTCTTCCATATGGCAATAACTAGGGATGGCAAAACATGTCAAGCCCGGCGGGCCGACTCGCCAGCCCACCATAATATGGTGGGGCGGGTTGGTGTTTTCAACCCGCTTTGGCCCGCCCAGCCAAGCCCGCCGGGCCAACCCGCGACTTGCCTAATTAATAAAAAAATAATTTTTTATTGTCATATAGTTAATTATAAAGATAATATATAAAGTTAAAATTTTTAAAAAGAGAATTAAAAAAGTTTCACTCTCACGTGAAAATATTCTCCTTACTGAAACACAACCTTCTATCTCCTGTTCTCCTTGTTCATCCTAAGCACTCGATTATTTTTATCTTTATGACTTAAATTAAAGGTGTAAGAATTACTCAACTAAGAATAATGTGAAGTTTTATCAAATAAAAAAGATATAGGTATTTGAATTTTTCAATATAAAAAATATAAATTTTATAAGTTTTAACGTTTTATATATATATATATATATATATATATATATATATATATATATGTTATTATTTATTATTATGTAAATTTTATTATTATTATAAATTATAATTTCTTAAAACAATGCATTGATTTATATTATTAAATTGAAATTATATATATATATATATATATTGAATTATTAACAAACAAATAATAATCTTATTATTAAATTTATTGAAATTTTTTATTTTAAAAAATAAATTATTTTTTTCTAAATTATGGCGGCCCGGCCCGCTCCTTGGCGGGACCAAGGTCTACAGCCCGTCATGACTATAACGGGTCAGCCCGCCCCGCCCCGCTTTTGGCGTGCCAAAGGCGAGGCGGGCCAAAATAGGGCGGACTGACCCGTTTTACCATCCCTAGCAAGAACTGTGTTTGAAAGGGGAGAAAAATTGAAGAGAAAGATGTTTTCTGTCATTATTTGGTTTAAGAGGAAAGAAAAAAAAAATAGTATGTTTTCCTTCCCCTTGTTCCATAGTTTGTTTGGAGGGAAAAATAGTACGAAAGAAAATGTATTGGTTCCAAAACAGTATTTATCCTGTATAATTCATTTTTCTTTTCTCTGGCTCTTTCCTTTTGGAGTTAACATATTTCTCCTATGCTCTCTAGCGACCTATCATGCTACCCTTCCACCTCTTGCCTTGTACCTAGCAAGTTCATCTTCCGTTTCCTAATTTTCCTAAATAATTCCTTCATTTGGTGTGATTCAAATAAGATTTTAAAATGAAGTCTTCCTCACTTTTGTTAATTACATGATGAGTTGTACAATGCTCTTCACCATTTTACTTCTGATGAGTTCAAGACATACATGTTTGCTGAATATCTCAACATGCCCGTCCACCTTTGGCTATACCCTGGCTTGGGTGAAGAAAAACAAATGCCACAGCTGGCACGTCTGGCAAGGGAACATTGGGTGGAGTGGTGCAAGGTGGTAGTGGAGGAGATGCAGTTTCTGCCACAGTCAATCCGCACCAAAATGACAAGCAACCAGAAAATAGTGCTAAGGGAGAAACTGGGGAATTTGGTATTTTTCTCTCACAATCATCACATTTCAATCATAAGCTAGGCAAGTAAAGTTTCACACAGCACTCACCAGGCTTATTCCGTCTCCTCTCTGTTTTCTTACCACCAAACAACATAACTAATTTTTTCATCCAATTTCTCACTTCCCCCCAAAATCGACAGTGCCAAATAAACTGTAAGAGTATAACTGAGGCTGTTGGCATTAAGCAAAATAAATGCAGAAGAATCAAAGAGAAAGAAAGACATCAGACACATCAGGCAGGTAGAGTACAGGAGAAAGACACCCTTTCAACACAAAAGCCCAACTTATGGAAGAACTATATCCAAGGTACCAGTAAGAGAATAAGGATTAGTGATTGTACCATTCAGTACCTCATGTTTCATATAGTTTATTTAAATTGCAAGTTTCTCACTTTTTATGACCTAGCCATTTTTTTGCCTTTTTTTTTTTTACCTTCATAGCACTAGGCACGTAGGAAATAAAAAATTATTGAGCTAACCTTACCTGCCAGGGTACCCATAGGATATGCTTCAAGCTCTTGCTCTTGTGCTGGTCCAACCGTGATCTTCACAGGATAGAGCACTGAAATTTGAGATGTCATATGTTGTTGCCTTCTCCTCAGCATTTTTTGCAATTTTTTCAGATGAACATAACCATTTTCTTCAGAGAGTGATCTGCTTGATTCCTATAATGAAAGCATCATCAGCTTTCTAGCTATAATAACACCCGTACAATATTAACACTAATTAATTCCTTTCCCTCAAAACAAGAAATAATGTTTCTATTTCGATTCAGATAAATAAATTCATCAATGCCATTTGTTACAGGGACTAAGAGAGAAAAGAAAGCTTTTATAACACAATTGAAAGAAAAAGGAGTTAATTTCTAAAGGACAGGTACAAGAGAAACTGAGAAAGATATATTCTATTCAACTGAATATAAAATCAGTCAAAAGCAAAGAAGAATAATACTTTGAATGTCAATTTCTAACAAATACTTCAACACCAACAAAATTAATCATTTTTCTAATCAAGACAACACACTTCCCCTAGAACATAAAGCCCAATAAACTAATACTCATCAAAACAAGGGATGATAATAAATTTATAATAAAAATAAAAGTCTCAAAAAAATACCAGAGTAAAAAATTTAGAATCTGTTATGAAAAATATTCTCTAAAGCTTTTATATATTATTGATATTCTACTCTCAAACAATGAAATGGTTTATATAAAGTACAGTGAAGAGTGAAGAGGAAGTTACAAGAGTAACCAATGAACTAATGAGTAACTAACTTATGTGTAATTAACAAACCAGAAACTAACTAAAGCTGAGTAGGCAACAACCAATCAGCTTACAAAATGATAAACTGTCAAAGATAACTAAACCCTAAATGTGGCAGCAGAGAGCAAATCAGCTTTCACTAGGTGAAGCACTCTAATACTCTATTACACCCCATCATAAAATAACAACACGAATGTAGTAGACAAATAAATCACTCACTACAAATCTAGAGAAGCTATATCTCAGAAAATGAAGCTTTAACAACTTCACTCAACTCAATCTCACAAAACTGATCTGTAAGGTGAAGTGTGCACCTACCTATATACTATAATTTGATCTCCAATACACCTCTTCACGCCAAGAACTAGACATATCAAGTGTATGACTAGATATTTGCCAGTGGTTCGATAACAGGTGGCACAATAGGCCCAACAATTCTTACTAAGATAGGCTTTGATACCATCTTAGAAAATAAATTTTGAAATTAATTCAACCTCACTAGATTGGCTTATAAAATGAGGTTTACACACACTTATATACTATAATTTGGCCATATCTTTAGTTGAAGTGGGATATCCAACATTGTACAAAACCAACTTTGCCTTTCACAATTTTTAACTTAAAAAACACCCAAAACAAAATTAAAAATAGTGAACACTATGTTTCCCTTGAGAGTTGAGACTATGTGTAGCATGCTTTAAGGCTTTACACCTTAAAAATGATCACAAATATGATGAAAATATTGTTGGTTGCCAGATAGAATACAGCCGAAGTATAATTATTATATCCAAGCTGTCCATATATGCAACAATTATTTAGTTTTCTTTTGGTAATTAATGGTTTAATACTTAGGGAAGGGAAGAAGACATGAAAGAATATTATCCCAAAGCTAGAGACCCATCACACAGACTAAAGTCTTTGTTCTCTACCTACCTAGCCTTAAAACCTTTATTTGGAATACCGTCTATAGTACCTCACCCTCCAATTTTTCAATTACATGTAGTGACTAAGTTATAGAAAACATGTAAGATGGAGTACGTACTATAACAAAAACTCCCAGAGGTGACACTAAGGACTTTCTTATAAAGATAGATTTACATCAAAGCTTAGCCTTGAATGCTTTCTTAATTTTAGTATTGGAAGTGTTTCCAACAAACATGCAAAAGATTATCCCTAAATGTATGCTTTTAGAAGATGATATAGTTTTAACCAAACAATGAAGGAAGAGGTTAAGTCAAGCTTTGGAGGTGAACATTGGAATCGAAGTGTCTTTATTTGAATAGGAGTAGAATAGCTTATATGCATTGCACTTTTATTAAGAAACAAAAGAAAAATGACTAAGGGGAGAAAATTAAAGATGTCATACCAAATGTATTAGTTAAATTTCTAAGATCAAAATTACAGAGAAAACTATTGTAGATGTAACATGTAAGATATAAGTTGGGAGTTAAAAATGAGAATATTTCACTTAATGGTGGCAAATGTTGGACTTTAAAAGAACATGAGAAAAAAATGGAGTAGCAAAAATGAGTATGTTTGATGGATGTGTAGCCACACAAGAATTGTTAGGATACAAAATGATTGTATACAAGGATATATGGTGTGGCACCTATCAAGGAAAAAATGATGGAAAATCAGTTAAGGTGGTTTGAACACTTGCAAAAAAAAAATCCATCAGAAACACCGGCAAAGAGAGTAAATAGTATAGTTTCAAGTTTGAACTGAGGTAGAGGAAGGGCAAGAAATACATTTGAGGATATTATTAAAATGGAACTCATGCTGAATAATATTCTTGAGAAATTTGTTTCAAACAAGTCCAATGGCATATTATGATGGGATAAGGTTATTGTCATTAACTTGTTCTTATTGTTTGTTGTTTTCATGGATCAATGCCTATTGCTTATCATAGGAATAATATCAATTTTATTCCCTTCTTGAGCATCATCCATAGAGAGGACAACTTCCATTCTAGGTTCATTAAGAGACAATGCTAGTATGTTTCTATATTAGCATACTTCTATGCTCATATCTAAGTTATATTAGACTTTCATAATTTTTCAAAGGCTTGGATGTGTTAGAAATACAAATTAGTGACGTATCAAAGTGTACCAAAATTGGATACACATCAGATACATAGACATGAGCAAACAGAAGTATTAGTGTTTCATAGACTACAAGACTCTTCAATGCTATTCCATACATCTCACTCAAAATGTCAACCACAATCATACAGATATGGAAGAGTTCAATCCATGTATACCCTCCCAACTGTTTCCAATATTCATAACATAGTTTCTTTTTTCAGAAGTACTTGTTAAGGTTCCAACATAAAACCAATTGGTCATACGTGGAGTAGCCTAACATGTATTTAAACCATACCAAATGACATGAGGTAGGCGAGGTGGGACTTTCAATACGCCCCCTCCAACGAAGCCTGCCGGACCAGGCAAAGGGTACTTTTGACCCAACTAAAGGACAACTTTTGGCCCATGACAATAACCGGAAAGATGTTAGGCTTTGGCTCTGATACCATATTAAGGTTCCAACATAAAACCAATTGGTCATACGTGGAGTAGCCTAACATGTATTTAAACCATACCAAATGACATAAGGTAAGCGATGTGGGACTTTCAACAGTACTCTTCAACATTTCTAATAAAAGAAGATAAAGAAAAATCCATACAGACTTCTGTTGGATAGACAAACAATATTATATCAACAAAAGACGGAAATTAACCTGGAGATTTCTGCTGGATACAGAAAGAGTACCCCCTGCCACCAAAAGTGATTGCACTGCACCACTAAGCCGCTCCTCCTGCTTGCTAGCGTCTTCCTTTGCCAGCCTACAACGTATAGACAAATTCTCCATCTTCATTTTCTTAGATTCCAATTTCTGACGCAGCTCCTCAAGTTCATTCAATCGATGTAATGATTCAGCATTGACCTGTTCACAAAATTATTGCTCAATAGGCAGGTTCATTAATTATGGACATTTAATAAAATCAATCATACACCTATATATTGGAAACTTCAACATTGCTGTTGCCAACTGAAACCAACAATTGGTGCAAAAAAGCATAAACAAAACTAAAACCACTAAACAAACAGACAAGACTGAACTGGTGCTCTAAAAATAAAATGTTAGCAGCAAAGTTATCAATCCTGGATAACTGCAGAGCAACCCAACCCAAAAAAGATATAGCAGGATAACCAATTGGGATGACTACTATTACTATATATATATATATATATATATATATATATATATATATATATATATATATATATATATATATATATATATATAAGTCCTAATTACAAGCCAAACACAGAAGTTAATAGCTAGAATAAAGTAAAATGAAAGGGGAAAATAGTAGAGCAAGAACCCAGAACACAACATTGAAAGAAATAGACAACAAAAAGCACACAAGCTCAAATATATCTAACAACCCTCTTTGACTTGAACAGAACAGACCCAGAGGATGGGAACAAAGTAGAGACCACAGAACAGTCTGCCAGAGTTCCACAGATACAGATTGATGGTTGGTTGGAAATGCATTTGAAAGCTCTGGGCCAAGAGACCACCCTCCTTTATGTGAACAGCGTATAGACCTGAAAATAGTGTGCCAGCATTCTGCAATTATGAGTAGGCCATAAACTCCACCAGAGTGCCATGGTTTGGCCAGTTGAGAGCTCTGGATTGGAAGATTTGCATCAAATAGAGAAAAGACTAATGAGAGTAGTGGGTTATTTAACCATTAACAGGAGTGAGTAAAAAAAAGTGTCGTGTTATGGTCAAATACAAGGGACAGAGGACACAAAATCCCAAGATTGCCCTAATAAACAGAACCAAACAACATCATCTAAGGGTCACAAAAGGAAACAGCAGTGATACATGCCATCCCAAGCACAACAGAGCTGTGACGAAACATACTTCCATGGCGCAGTCCATAGACATAACTCCATGATGCCAATATAGCATGAACTGTCTACTATGCTTTGTGGGGTATCCTAGTTGAAAATTGGTAATCATGCATTTCCCTTTGTTCAGATATCATGGACTTTAATCATATTGGGTACGGTTACCAGTTAAGATTCAATATATGCAATAGAACATAGTCAAGCACACCAAGAATTGTACGCCTACTCAAACCCTATGATACATGGATACAATACATGTATCAGATACATGTATCAAATACTATACATATCCGATATGACGATACATTTATTCTAGACAAAAGCAGGATACAATACATATAAGATATCTATTTAACAATGTACAAAAAATTCATAAAAAATAATAAATATTAAACTACAATCATGCAAATCCAAAATTCAAATCACATTTCTTATATATCATGGAACTAAAAAATATAAATAATTGTTATTATAAAATATTTTATATTATTTAGATATAAGAGTATCATTATCAATCTCATTACTTTTTCCAAAAAAAAATTCTGTTATGATTCCAACATAAAACCAATTGGTAATATGTGGAGTAGCCTAACAAGTACTTAATCCATACCACATGACAATGAGGCAGTGATGTGAGAATTTCAATACGTCTCATCCAACGAAGCCGGTTAAACAAAAAAAAAAGTATTTCTGACCCACAACGAAAAGACAACTCTTGACCCAAGACAAGAACCAAGAAGCAAAGGATTAGGCTTTGACTTTGATACTATGTTAAGGTTACAACATAAAATCAATTGGCAATGTGGAGTAATCTAATAGAAATTTAAACCATACCATATGATATGAGACAAGTAATGTGGGACTTCCAACATCCTATTTGGTTTATTAAAAAATAATATTTAAATTTCTATTTTACATACATATATGTGAAGTATCTAATAGTAATATATGTAAAACAAAGAAATGTATTGCTTCATAAGTTTGGATATTTCATTGATATGTATCGGCGAAGTATTGGACACGATACGGACACAGGAGAAAAATTGAAGTATTTGACCTATGAATTCATTAGTTACTAGGGATCAAAGCACCACGTTGAGAGAAATAAGAGATCAATTGGTCCGACCATAATACATACGCCTTCTGTTACAAAAGGGTTCCTTTACCAGCCTATGCTACATGAGTCTGTTACCAAAAGCAAAGAGGGATGAGAGATTATCAGGGCAACCTTATTAAAGGACAACCCCACTAAACAGTGATGGAGTTTGAACCCTCTAAATCACCAACTTAAAATCCACAATTCAAAACCAAAACCATCATAATAAAATAGCATTGTTGTAAACCGATGCATCCGTGAACCATTTCGCAAGCAGGCCACTTGTAAGTAAAAAAACAAAAAGTCGGTTCGCTACTAATTCATTTCCCCAGTAAATGCAGTTACATTTAACACCACCTTTTCGTCTCTCTCCTTCATTTCGCCAATAATTTCCAAATCAAACCCAAAATAATACTTCATTCCCCAATCGAGCTCAGATTCTCCAGGATACCGAACACGCTTGCCCTCCAGTCACTAAATTCCATCTCCATTTGCATTCAATTTTCATTTATAATTACACTAAAGTCGTCAATAGCACAAACACAACTACCTAATTTCACGAAAATTATGGTAACAACATAAAAAACCACTAAAACATGTTTCGAAAATTATCAATTACTAAACCTAAACGTAGAAGTCTAAAACCCTACCTGGATGAGAGAAAGGAGCTGGTCGTGAAGGTTGCGCTTCTTTTCCTTGGCTTCGTCAACTGCGCAAGAGAGACTCGCCAATCTCGCAAGATCGTGCTGGAAGTCCTCCCACTGAATGACCTTCACATGTTCGGGATCAGTTGTGGTGGTCCACAATGACAGAATATGGTTTGGCTCCATCACGAATCGAACTCACCATCGTCCTCGAGTGGTTTTAACACCAAACGAAGTTCATCATCGATCCCTCTTGGTTTCTTCTGCTCCTGGTTTTCTCGAAAAAATTGCCTGATTTTCTAGGGAGAGAAGTAGGAAATTTGGTGTTGGTCTTGCTGGAGAATGGATGTTCTGATGGTTAGGTTTTTTTTTGTTTTCTTTGGGATTAAGCCGCGAAATAGTGGACACGTGGAAAACGTGCTCCTCCTTTATACAGTTTTGTTTTGGCCTTCCACCATGTTACCAGGCCTATTTGGACTTAGTAATATGAAACATTTCATGAATCAACAAAATGGCACATTTATGAATATGAAACGTTTCATAAAAAGAGGAAAGTTTATATTTTAAAATTGAGTTTGATATTTGATAAAAAAAAATAGAAAAAATATATAAATAAAAAAATAAAATAAAAAACAAAATAATTTTTAAAATTATTTAGTTTAAGAAAGAATAAATAAATTTTTATGTAATATAAAGAATAAATATTTATGTTTAGTATAATTAAAATATTATATTTAATTTTTATATAATATTAATTATTTTATTCAAATTTTAATTATATTATTACTAATACATTTAATATAATAAAATATTATGTTTAATTTTTATATAATATTAATTATTTTATGAAGCTTTTAATTGTTATTATTAAGAATTAATTAATTTTATATCATTTAAATCATTAAGTGATACTTATATTAATGTATATAATTTTAATAATAAAAAATTTAATTTTATAAAATATGATGACTAATTATAGATATTTATTGTTACAGTCCTTAAATCAGTTAAAGTTTTTCCAGGAATTTCTAAACACTTGGTTGGATGAATTGTTTTCTTGAATTTTGAAAGCTAGGTGGATGGATGTAATATCTTATTTAAATTTACCCTAGTATAATAATCCATACTACATAAAATTAAAATGATTATTATTAAAATTTTAATAAAATAATTAATAATATATGAAAATAAAATAAAAAAATGTCATTATATTAAATATAAATATTTATTATAATTATTGTATGAAAAATATATTTTATCTTTACAACATCTTCACTACTTAGCAGGAATAAAACCTTTGTTTTCACATTTCTCAAAGGGCTCATTGTCCCCTTTGTTACAAAAATTTATGTATAGATTGTTTAAAAACTAAACAAGGAATACAGGATATACCTACTTTCTTAGGAAAAGAAGAAAGTACAAAAGACAAAAATTTAATCGACACTAGGACTTCAGTCTTAGAAACCCGATTAAACCTAATTGAAGAAAATGTTCTTCACTTAGAAAAATTTGTTAAAGGAAAAGATACTCAAAAAGATTTAGTATCTCTTCATACACAAAACAACATGATGGGAACTACGGAACGTATCCCATTAGTTTGTAATACAAAACAACTAATAATTGTTAAGGTATTAGTTAAATTAAACTTTCCCCAGAAAGACAAATATCCCGCCAAAGAGGTTGTAGTTCAAGCCCTCTTAGATACGAGGATGTTCGAAACAGATTGTATGCGTAACAAAAGTACCCACATACATGATCACTAAAAGTAAACATGTACAAAAAACCAGAACGATGTCTGGTCAAATAATGATAAATGATGAAGAGATAAGGAATATCTCTCTTCAATTTAGCACGAATTGTGACCTGTTTGGTCAGAAAATACACATCAAAACTATGAGAGTGGAAAATTTAGTCCCCTCCAAACAAAACATGATTATTGGTTTAGATTTTATCCTAGGCCAAGATCGAACTATCACTATAAACAAATATTATGTTATAATTAGTGATAGAACACAAATGTCTCCCATAATTAGTGGCGACAACCCAAAATACATAGAACAACCTATGGATGGATGTTCTTGTAATAATCTTAAATCTCCCGACACATGTGATTGTCAGGAACAAGATTTAGAAAACTTAGATTATTACTACACAAATGATATCATGGAATCTTTTTCTTCCATAAAGATATCAAAATATAATCACGTTTGACAACATCCAACAGATACTGGATAGGTTAAACAAAACTAGCATAATAGGAAAAGACCCTACGAAGTTTTGGGATCGTGACCCTGTTATGTGTAAACTTAATATAATCAATCCCGATTTGATTATAAAAACAAAAGACATACGAGTTTAACAACTGGAACAAGAAGAATGTCGATTGCATATCGACAATCTTTTGAAGCTGAAAGTAATAACTCCTAGTGAAAGTCCTCACAGGAGTCCTGCTTTCATTGTTAACAAAGCTTCAGAACAAAAAAGAGGTAAATCAAGGATGGTTTACAATTATAAAAGACTTAATGATAACACAGTCGAAGATGAATATACTATTCCATCTAAAGATATTTTGATAAACCACATACAAAATGCAAGATGGTTTTCAAAATTTGACTTAAAGAGCGGGTTCCACCAGGTTAAAATGGACCCTGACTCTATAAAATGGACAACTTTTTCCTGTTCAGAAGGATTATATGAATGACATGTTATGCCTTTCGGCCTTAAAAATGCACCCGCCATTTTTCAAAGAAAAATGGACAACATTTTTAAGGACTTTAAATCCTTTACTTGCGTCTATATAGACGATATACTTGTTTTCTCCAAAACCAAAGAAGAACATTTTCTTCATTTAAAACAAGTATTATATAAATTAGAACACTATGGGTTAATAGTGTCTAAAAACAAAATGGAAATCTGTAAAAGATTTATAGAATTCCTAGGAACAGAAATAGGGAACGGAACAATAAAACTCCAACCCCATATTTCTAAAAAGATCCAAGATTTTCCAGATAAAATGGAGGATATTAAAACATTAAGATCCTTTTTAGGACTCTTAAATTACGCCCGAAATTTCATTCCAAATTTGGGTCAATATACATCTCCTTTATACAACAAAACTTCTATTAAAGGAGAAAGAAAATTTAATTCTGAAGACATAAGATTGGTTCAGAATATAAAACAAATGGTAAACCAATTACCAATTTTACAATTACCATTAGACTCTGACTATCTGATAATCGAGTGTGATGGAAGCGAATTAGGATGGGGAGTCATCCTAAAACGCAAGAAAAACAAATATTCTTCTAAGATAGAAGAACAAATTTGTAGGTATGCATCTGGAAAATACACTGTTAAACCCCAGGTGTACCAAACCAGCACTGACTATGAAGTCAATGCTATCATACATGCATTAGATGCTTTTAAATTGTTTCTGATAAATAAATCAGAAATAACCATCAGAACTGATTGTGAAACAATTGTTTCTTATGGTAAACACCAGATTCATAAAGATAAAAAGCCTCACAGAAGATGGCTTTTATTCAAGGATTATATGAATTCTGGAAAAATTATAAACTTTGAACATATTAAAGGTTCTGATAATATGTTCGCTGACATCCTTTCCAGGTATGTCACTACAAAGGACCCTGGTAAGTCCTCCCAAGACCAAGACTATGGATAATGACTTGGTAGTACAAAATGACCCTGAGATTCCCCCGGGATTTGGGTTTTTACACAGACCATTAAGATTTGGTGAGACAGGTCCTCATCCAGTCATAATGATTACAAAACACATAAAAGGGCTAAAAAGGAGATTAGCCAAAATCCATCTAATTAAAGATGAACTAAACCCTCATAATTTTGCTTATGAGGTTGCCTTTTATAAGGCTCACATAAAAACTCTAGAACAAGGACTAGAGAAAATAAAGCATTTTGTTGCTTGATATAATCTGTTTTCTGATTGTTTTTCAGGAACAAAAGACCATCGATGGGCTCTACAAGTTTTATATAACTTGTTTACTAATGTTTCTTTTGCAGGAACAAGAAATCCAATGATGGATTCTACACACAAAGGGAAAGGACCTTTAGGTCCGAAACCCACAAAATCCCCATTTATGGTGGAAAAATACATGAAGTATGGGAAACAAGAGTTACCCATACTTACAAATTCCTACCAGTTTCCTGGTAGGGAATCTACAAATGTCAAATTAAATGTTTTAATTGACAACATTTGGAATATTCCAAAATACACAGCTCAAAATGAGCAACAAGTCGCTAAAATGAAGCAAAGCATTATTAGCGCATTATACAGTTTCTGCAATGCAGATAACAAGGAAGTTAGGTTGACTTCCGCAACTTCTCCTTCTGGTAAGGGGTTTACACATTATGCCCTAGTTACGGGGCCAAACAAAGGAGTTTATACTTCATACAAAGACCTCTCTGAGGCCAAACAAGACCAGTTTTGGTCTAATTACAAAGGTTTTTATTCCAAGGAAGAAGCCCAGATGACTTTGAAATTGGAAACCATAAATGAAGAAAAAATAAAAACGGCCCTTTTGCTTGAACCAAAGGCCCAAACACAAACCTATGCAGGAGCCTGTTGTCTTCCTACCCAGGTTACCCAAACATCTTTTTAGCCAAGTTTGGGGTAATACAAGAATTTCTGTTTGAAGTTCACTCTGAAGCCCAAAATCCCAATGGGCTTACTGTCAAAACACAGACCTACTTTAACACTAGGAACCCTTATTTAGGATCCTCGGAATACTGTAAAACAGTATCCACAAAATGTACATGTCAATTAAAGTTTGTCATCCGAAGGGCACAAATTGATTTGTCTACCTTCAAAAACCAACTATACCGAGAGCTTCTGATAAGCCCTCAACTTCTGTTAGAAGCCGGATGTCTTCAAGATATTACCATCCCTCCTACAGAAAGATTTCATTCATTAACCCCAGAAATAAACTCTGTGGTAAATGAAATACAAGCCGAGCATATGATGAGTGTGCTCTTAAAAATTACTTCTTCCCCAAGAAGTCCAAACTCTCTTGACAGCATGGCAAAACATGTTGTTAAGTTATTCACAGAGGTAAATCCTGAGATGCGTACCTCTATAGAGCAAGATCCTTTTCAGGGACTTACTCTAAACAAAGATAAGCTTTACCAATATCAGCTTTGGAAAGCTTATGTAG